GCTGGGTCAGAAAAGCAACACATTGGAGATACATTTGTTTCTCTTCCTTATGCCACTGAGTGGCCCTTGTGGAGACAGGGGGCTGGCCTCCCCCGAGAGTGTCTCCCTGCACGTCCATCCTTGTCCCACAACTTCAGTCAATGCAGAATATCCAGTACACTTAGGGTTCCAAAAAGAGCCCTGGGCAGTGCCATTGATGAATTATTCATCATTTCCCCACCAGTCATACCCTCAAGATGGAGGCTACAGGACCGACTCAAAGTCCAAAAATGTGGGAAAGTTTATTTATTTCTCCAAAACATTCCTGATTTGTAATGTGCTTTCTAAAAATGTTCTAGCTGACCAAGCCCTGCTATATTTAGCTACAGCATTGAAAAGAAATACTCTTTACACTTTATAAGGCGGGCTATGAAATGCGTGAGTTTAGGGAAAACTGTTCCTCCAGGCTAGGCCCTTTCTCCCCAGGAGAGGGGTGGAGCCTCTGTTTTGGCTTATAGGAATGGTCTCCGTGCTGGGGGGGCAGAAATAAAGACTTGTATTCATTCCCAAGGCCCTTGAGTTCACAGTGGCTAGACAGTCAGCCCTGGGAAGTCTCCTCTAGGCTCCTTGTACCGCCCGGGCAAAGCAAAGAAGCACCAAAGGAATGTTGCCCTCCTCCAGTCTGTGAAAATCATCTCTCCTATGGTTTTCCTAAGATTCCCTGCCGTGTGTAGCAGCTTATTTTGCTTTTGGTTTCGTGTTCAAACGGTTGGATCATCTCAAGAGAGGAAACATGGCAACAAAAAGATGAAATGGATCCCAGCCTGCCCGAGCAGGAGGACTGGAGAAATCAGCCCCAGGAGCCCTCTGTTCTCGACAGAATCCTCTAACACGAGCAGTGCTGTTGGTTCGTGATTTTGTTGCTGAACAGAGAAGTCACAAACGGAGACTAGAGGTTACATCTGTATACAGCCATAAGACCTAGCCTGTTTTAAGTGTTTTCTGTATGCTGGATATTTTATAGACATCTACTCATTTAACTCTGATGAGGTCCCATGGAGGAGGAGAGATTATTCTTCCTATTTTACAGATGAGAACCAGGGCAGGCTGTTGTCATGAACGTATAACCATCATTTAATTTATGCCCCATGACAGCTCTATGAAGCAATTACTAATGTTATTTGTACCCATGCCAGGAGTTAAGGGACAAAAGAGTTAGGTCACTGTGCCAATGTCAATAGCAAGTGAAAGCTCAGTTGCTTTTTTAGCCTCTATCTGATGGGCTCCGAGACCACACTCTTCTCCAGGTTAAGGAACCCTCTTCCGGGGCCACTCCACCCCGACTAGATCAATTACTGAGGTGTAAGGCATCAGTAAGATGCAATTACAGCAATTGTTCCCATTGTTGGGTGTGTAGGGGCAGACCTGGAAGAGGTGGATAGGAGATGGTGACCAACTACCTGGGAGAAATGAGAGGCCAAGAGCCCTGGGTGGCATGAGGTTCATAATACTTTCTGCTGCACATTGCAAAGGCATGAGCTGTTCCTTAAAGTTCATGCTGTTGAAGTTCGCATGACCTCAGGAACTCCAGGATGTTCTTCCTCACCCTTCCAACTGGGCTTAACACAGACACTGCCCTGGGGTGAAGACCCTTTTTTTCATCCCAACTTCTTCTGGATTGGGCTTGAGGATGCCCTCGCCAACATGTGGTCCACACATTCTAGAAGGGCAGGACAGCATCAGTCACACAACCCAGTGAAGGCTAGATGCCATGGCTCATGCCTGTAATCCCAGTGCTTTGGGAGGCCGAGGTGGGAGAGTCTCTTGAGGTCAAGAGTTCGAGACGAGCCTGGGCAACATGCCAGACCCCTCTCTGCAAACATAAAAATTGTAAAATAAGCCAAATGTAAGAAAGTGCACGTATAGTCCCAGCAACTCAGGAGGCTGAGGCAGGAGGCTGGCTTGAGCCCAGGAGTTTGAGGCTAGTGAGCTATCATTACACCACTGCACTGCAATCCAACCTGGGCAACAGAGTGAGACTCAGCCTTAAAAAAAAAAACAAAAAAAACCCCACTACTACCATGCACAATCACAGGTAGGCCAGCAACTTCTCAGGCTCCAAGACATCCAGGCAGAGATGCATGGCCAGGGCAGGCCTTCTCTGGAGCTCAGTTCAGGCCGAGGCCCTGCCCACCTAAGAGGGACCCAGATTAGTAGCTACAGCCTGCTTCTCTTGGAAGCTTGCCAGATGGGAGATTCCAATCTTCTGGAACTCCACATGCAGCCGCAGGTATTGACTGGGACATCCCAACCTTGGCTCTTGTACATCAAGGTGTGGGGAGGGCAGTGGCAACTTCCTGATCCCAGCAGAAGAACCCCCAGTGTGCTGGTCACAGTCAGTCTGCCCAACCTTTCCCTGGTCCACTCTCAGCCCTTCTTCACCTCCCCTTCAGGTTGATCCCTGTGGACAGCATTACCTGGGTTCCATTGTAGGTTGGGCTTCTGACAGGTTTCAGCCCATCAGAGGCATCAGAGGAGGCTGGAAGGAGGAAGAGGAGAAGTGGGGTATTTCCCTTCCCTCCTGTCTGCTCCAGCACTTGGCTCCTTTCCACTCCAGCTCTGAAGGTGGTACCTGCTGCGGGCTGAGGTGGGCAGAGGCAGGATGGAGCCATTCTCACCCTTGCTAATCACTGATGGTTTCCTTTACCCAGCCCACTCTTCCATAAAGAGTCCTTCCACCCTGATCCTTTCCATGGAGCCATCTAAGTGGGTTTCTATTTCCTGCCAGGACCCTCATTCTTGTACCTAATGGAAAAAACAGGTTGGGACCAAATCTTTATCCCATTGCCTCCCTCCACCCCCACTGCTAGTGTAAAGACACCTGAGTTGACTGTGTCCCCCTAGATTTCATTTGCACCCCATGGTGGAGAGCCTGAGCTTGACTCTACATCTGGCCTATAAGCCACACATTTGATTTGCCCAGTGCAATTGGCATTTGGATGCCATATGAAGGGACAGAACTTCCCCCACCCCAGTTCAGCCGAAGCCCCACCACTGCCTGCTCCAGTGACCAGGCCCCACTCCAGGTCACTGTAAACACCTGTGGCCCTGCCTGAGCCCTGGAGAACTCAGCACTGGGGCCTCTGGATAAGGACTAGTAGAGAAGAGAGCTTGCCATGTGGCTATTCAGGCATATCTTTAAAACTGCTTTAAATGTGAGTCAAAAGAATCTTACTTTTCCACAAACTCACGCTCTTTATTTTTAATGGACAGACTTTGCTTTTATCATTTATGTTTTTCATTCTATGAAACAATCTTTATTTCATGGAAGCAAAACTCCAGCCACCATGAAGCCAGGAAGTGCACAAAATCACGACTCTCCCCCGATTTTCTCACTCTGGGTGGGTGCAGCTGGTTACTGGAAATGTCACTCACTTTTGTGATGTTAACATTAACCTGCCAGTGTCTGGGCAGGCTGGCTCTGGCTTTCAGCTATAACAGTAATTATATGTGGCTAATTCTTTAACACACACATGGGTACACACTTACCACTTTGAGTGAAATGGTGAAGACCACCATTCAAACGGGCACAATTAAATCTGAAAATGGCTAAGCAGGTCCTGTTCAGGTTCTCAAAACTCTTATGGTTCATTGGAAGCCCAGGAGGCCATTCGCTTCTAGAAGAGCCAGTAACTAGATGAGGCCAGGCAGAGCAAGAGTCCTTTGTAAAGTTCTCTGTCGTTGTGAACGGAGGGAAAAGTTCTCAAAGCGGGTGTCTTCTATGACGTTTGAATAAAATCTGTTAGTTTCACTATAATAACACAGAACAATAAAGTTATCCCTGGTTCACACTACATAGAAAAACAAAACTATTAAAGCTATATAGAAATTATATCTACTTTTCAAAACTATATAGAAAAACAAAATCTTTCAAATAGTATCAATACTTGAGTTAAAGTGAAAGGACTCAGTACTTGATCTGAGTCTCAGGTATATTCAAAAAAGATAAATTTATGAGCATTCATGTACACAGAACAAATACATACACACACACTCCTACACATTCATGTGTATATATATGTATATACACATATATAAACGTATACATATGTATACACAGTTTTCATACATGTGCCTGCCATATCCTCATTATGATCAGTGCACTCATATGTGTGTGGGTATGTGTTTATGTGTGTGTGTGTGTAATCAGGTCTTGAACCAAAACTCATTTACAGAAGACAGATCTGTTCCCTTTGTCTAGATGAGAGCAGAGAGGTATTCCTTCAGATGGCATAAGAGTACAATGATAAGCTTGCTTCTGGCTCACCCTAATTATAGCTGAGATTTTGTTTTAATTAAGAGCAGAAACTATTGACCTTATTCAGCCATAATTTTGAGCCAACGATTAAATCTGGATCAATAGAACAGTTATTCAGATTGGTAAGACCCCAAGTTCCTCTTTTTGGTTCAGGAGGAAAGAATACCCATGAAATTATACAGATTACATAAAAATGACCTCACTATCCATTTGTCTTAGCTTTTCTAAACCAGATGAAAGTGGGGATTAAATAGAATTTATCTTTATGCATGTATAAACACACAAAGTGGACACATTTGCATTTTTTCTGTGTCATAAAAGTAATGTTTGTACAATACTTTTTAGAATGGTAACTTTAAAATATGATCCTTTTAAAATTAGAGTATCAAATTATTTGCTTCTTCAAAACATAGCCATCACAAATTAACAAAACCTCCCAAGACAGCATACCAAACACAAAAAAGAAAAAGGAAAGATTAAAAACCGATTCAATATGGCAGAATTAACTCATTGTGCTTTCTGATATGGAGGCAACTTCCTGGGCCCGGCATCCTCTTCACTCCTTCCCCTCTGTCTGTGTGTTTACCCCTCCGAAGCCAGAGCCTCCTGAGATGCTAACACGACTCCCAGATATAATCCCGGTCTCCTCTTTCTTATTACACTGTTTGTTTATTTCCCTCCAGTAATCCACTGAACCAGTCACTGAGAGGTTAATGAAAAAACAACTTTATTCACAGAGGCTGAGAATTTGGGATAACAAAATATCCAGTGACAGCCCTTCCACCACATTTTCAGTTAAACACAGTGAGCCTGGATCTCAGCAATGGTTCCTCCTGAAGTTCTTCCAATCAAGGCTGGGCTGCAGTTTCCCAGAGTCTTCCCACTGGCCTGGGTGGAAACCAGTCATGGAAGCCTGGTTCAACATGGATATGAGAATGAATTTTCCAAAAGTCACCTCTATGCCTATGAATTATCCAATTACTCTGCCGGCCTGAAATGTCCTTTCCAACACATTGACCAGCAGGCCCTCTGGATTCAAAGTTTGTCATCATTTTTAGAGAAGTCCCGGAAACTATTTTAAAAGCTATCTTAAAGACCTCCCTTCCAGCCTATTTCCAAGAATGCGTGACTACTTGTGTCTTTATCACATGACATAAAATAAGTGACTTAGAGGTTCAGAAAATTGCATTTCACAACCTCGAAGATAACCCAGCTAGAGATGGCATAGACGTTGGGTGCATTTCCCCGAAGTTCCAAGCCTAACTTGGTTGTGAACATCTCAATATTCTTAATTAGATTTTTGTTGCAGACCTCTGCTCCCCTCCCCAGACTGTCAGTCACCTCTTTAAGCTGCTGGGGGTGCGGGCCGGGAGTGTCCTGCCATGGAGCCTCAGGTCCTCTGGGGCCTGGAGAGGCCCCTTCCAGCTGATACCAGCACATCCCCTTATTCTTCTCCTGCATTCATCCCTCTCTCTCTGCGTCTGCTTTTGCTTGTTTCACCCAACTTTTTAAATTAAACGTAGTCCTTCATTATCTGTTTCTGAAAAATATAGCGACCACCAAGCCTGGATCTTGAAAAACCATGGAAATCAAAACTCCAACATTGTCTGAGGCATATCCCCTCCCCCTCACACCCTTCCTCATGGTATGCCTTGAAATATTTTGATCCCTTAAAAACAAAAGCAAAAGGATAGGCCGTCTGCTGTTGTGGGTTACATAGCTGCATGTGTATTGGCTAATGAGATATCATAATGCAAGAAGATGTTATATAGAGTGCACTTTCTTAATAAAAGTTGTTAATACACGCGTTTTCAAAGGTCAATGCTTAGAGTCAAGTATTTATGCAAATAATAAAACATGTTCCTTTTACTACCCAGAAAGAAATTAAGAGAAAACTTCTCTGTTTAAAATAAAAGTGTTACTGCTCTGGGTGGTTTATCAGCTTCTATACCTGAACATTGGTCATAAATCCTAATCAGGCCCTACATCTTCCAGAAAACCTGAAAACCCGGGGTCACCCCCGGCACCTCCACAACTTCAAGGCGGGAACAAACCCAGCTGTGACCACCCCACATCCAGATGGGCTCATAACCAAGGCCGGACCCACACAGCAACAGCGAAGCAGGCGACGGTCCTATGGGGGTCCCCGGTCGAAAGGACCACACTGCACCTGTAAGGCCTGTGTTGGGTAGTCTGCGGGCCCTCGCATGCCCGGGACGCGCAGGACCTGCGGTGGGCCGCTGAAGACCACTCCATTAAACAGGCCAAAAGTCAAGGAATCTCCTGCGGTAGAGGTCCCCGCGGGTGCCCATGACCCCGCAGGGATCTTTTAAGTCTCCGTAGCTGCGCCAGGTTGCTAGGAAAAGTTTTCTTCGGAGAAGGCAGGCGAGAGCGTCCACCTGCGCCAATGGTTGGTGACATTTCCCTGAGTCCACAGGCCGTCCCAGGCAAAGATAATTTTAAAATCCTCCGCAGGTGGGAGCTGTGGCCTTTCGCTCAGCGGAGGCGCAGGCCGGGCTGGGAGAAGAACCGCGCCATCGTTTGCTTTACTGGAAGTGGAGCACGGTGTCGGGAAGCTGCAGGGGGAAATAGGAGAGGAAGGGGATCCCGAGCTGGTAAAAACCGCCCTGGACGTGCGGGTCGAGCATCAGGGAAGCGTTGAAAGGCGGACGGAGGCTGGAGGAGGCGGCCAGGAGCGAGGCACCCAGACGGCCGCCGGGCCCGGGCTTGGCGCCCCCCAGAAGCTCGTCCCCTGCAGGCGGCTTCTGGCCCTGCCTTCCCGCCAGGATACTGTCTATGCTGAAGCTCTTGGACTTGTCGGAGCTCTTCGGAGAGCTGCGGGAGGCGGGGCGCAGAGGGGACCCCGGGCCGTCCCCCGTGCGCGCTGGCTGGCCGACCGCCACGGCCGCTGCGCCCTGGACAGCGTCACCAGCGTCCTCGTCTGGGGACGCGGTCCCCGGCCAGTGGAGGGGCGCCGGCGGAGAGGGGCCGTCCAGGAGGGGCGAGGGGCCCACAGGCGCTCCCTCCAGGCGTGGGATTGCGGGGCCCGAGCCCCCTGCCCCGCTCCCTGCCTCCGGTTGCGCCTCCGTGCTGCGCTCGTGCGTCTCGGCGCGGGGCCTCTTGGCCTCCGGGGCCCCGGGGCCCGGCTTGGGCTTCCTCTTCCGGCGCCGGTAGTTGCCGTTCTCAAACATGTCCAGGCAGCGGGGGTCCAACGTCCAGTAGCTGCCCTTGCCCGGCCGCCCTTTCTCGCGGGGCACCTTGACGAAGCAGTCGTTGAGCGAGAGGTTGTGGCGGATGCTGTTTTGCCAGCCCTGCCGGTTGTCGTGGTAGAAGGGGAAGCGGTCCATGATGAACTGGTAGATGCCGTTGAGCGTGACCCTCTGCTCAGGCGCGTCCTGGATCGCCATGGCGATGAGCGCGATGTAGCTGTAGGGAGGCTTCTGCGGGGTGTCGGCCCGGCCCGAGGCAGCCAGAGCAGCCGCGGGGGCGAAGGCCAGAGGCAGCCCGGGTCTCTCGGGACCGTACAGATACAGCATGGGTGAGGCTGCCAGGGCAGACAGCCGGGGATCGAAGAGGTGGCTCATGGCAAGCGAGAGCCTGCGCTGCGCTCCCCGCAACGTAGGCGACCCGGGGGACCTAGGCACTGCGCCCCGCGCCGCAAGGGCCCTCCCGGGGAGCCAGCCGTGCCTCTGCCTCTGGCTCTGCCGCTCTCCCCGGCCGCTCCGTGCTCTGTCCCTTCTTCATGGCTTTAAAAATGTTAAATAATTGTTGTAAGTTTGCTGTTATATGTTGACTTAGCCCTGGAAAATAAATTGTCTATGATAAACAGTCCTTGTGTTCTCAGCCCACCCACATTAATTAAAATTTCATTGCTGAAAAACTCCAAGCTTTTCCCTCCACGTGTCTTTTTGATACCAGCCAATCGGTTTTGGGGCTATTCCTTCATTTGTTTATAGAATTAGTCTGTTGATAAGTCCGCCCACCCAAGTTGAATCAAGCTGTGTTTATTTGGAAAAATTTCCGGGCACCCAATATATAAACGCACTGATCTGATGTTTGAAATATCACGTCCACCCCTTGACGCTGTAAGCACACACAGTCAGTGAGGCAGGATGTAGACCGCGGTGGCTCGGAGCAGGGTCTGCTGAGCCAGGAAAGAGAGGTGGAGATGGGGGTGGGTGTGCAGGGGTGAGTTTTACGCTGGCCTGGGGGAGCCCCACAACCCCAGGGCCTCCCACAAAAGGCCTTTTCTTCTACCAGGCTTAACCGGACATGTCGAGATGTAAAACGTCGAGTCTAGTAAAATGCTTTCTGAGGTCCTAGGAACCTTTTAGATCGGGGCAGGGAGGGTGTCTAAGAAGCCTGAGTGTTTGCTGAGAAAGGGATTCAGCCCTCCCTGAAAAAACAGGTGGCGGACCCAATAGGAGGTGGCACTCTCTAGGGACCTGCTCTCCCACACCCTCCCTTCCAGGACTCTCTGGAAATCGGAGGGAAATTGGACTCTGGGAGCCCAGCTTCTCTGGAAGGGAAGGCCTAGGGCACTGGAGGCCTGGGGAAGAGCACCTGGTCCACAGCTCCACCGAGGAAGGTTTCAAAATAAACCCATTTAGAGAACTGGGGGCAAAAGTAAGGTCCTCCTGATGGGGCCAAGGTTGCAAGGGAGGAACACCATAAAAGGAGGCCGTGGCAGCTGGCGCGGGAGGCCTGGTATTTGTGAATGTGGGTCTCCAGCTTTATATTCTGGGCTTTCCTGTTTATAACAAGGAGGGGGTTATAACAACTTTACAAGTGCATGCAGCTGGCCCGTGATTACATTAGGCATTTGGGAAGCCTGCTTGCTCTCCCTGCATCCACCCCCCCTGGGGTGTACACCGCTACCCACCCCCATCTCATTTTACATTTTCCCACGTCACTGTTTGAATAAAAAATCCTGAATCATGCTGATTTCCAAGGCGGCCTCTCTTCCGCACTCCACTCCTTAGGGTAGGGGTAGAGGGTACCTAGTATGACTACTTCCTGTTTATGATCACCCCCTGAATATTAAAACACACACACTCTCACACGCACGCACACGCATTCGGACAACTGGCGTCTCCTTGAGTAAATCGTGTGAGCATGTCAAACAGACGAGGGAAGGGGGATGATGGCAGGTGGGTGTAGAAATGGCCACTACATGTGGGCCAAGAAGGAGGGAGAGGCACCGAGGGCACTCATAGCGGTACGGGGAGTGTCTGCTGCTGCCACACCCGGCTGGGGATGTAAGTACCCACGTAGCCTCTGAACAAGGAAAGGTGGCGGGCATCCTTTTTCAAAATGAGAAAAACAGAAATAACCCGTGTGTTTGGGGTTCCCGGGTACCCAGCCCATAGAATAAGTAGACTATTTAGCGAGTAAATTTAAAATATCAAAAAGGAAGTTGCAGGAATGGTGGAAAAACCGGTCTGGGTGCCGACACTGCCTGCGGAAGCGACAGGCCAGTCCCTGGGACACCTCGGGCCTCCCTCCGCGGCCCTACTCCTTTAACGTGGGTCCAGCGCGCAGCCCGGCCCGCCTAGGTCCTGGGGGTGAACCACTGGCCAGCAGGGGCGGGGCGTTGTCGTTTCGTGACCGCTCGCTTTCACTCGCGCACACCTTTCAACCCTGGGATGAAGAAACCTCAATGCCAGCGCCTTTGCAACCCGCAGGGCCCACAGTCTCTGGGGTCACCCAACCTCTCCGGGGCGGCGCGCCCCCAGCAAGCTCAAGTTTGGATCCAGTTCCTTCTCCAGCCTCGGCGCTCGCTCCAGCACACCCAGATCGAGAGCTAAAGCGGGGTCACTATGCAACCCTTTCCCCACCTTCCTATCCCACAGCCCGTCCTGGAGCTCCCCACGCGGCACCCGAAGTCCAGCACGCACATCCCTGCCTCTACCGAAACGCCTGCCGTCCTGGCGCGACTTCCAAACTCTAAGACAAATCCGAGCTTGAATTTGTACAGTGATAAACACTGCCCGATTTGGTAATGGGCGGGACGCGGGCGGAGACACGCTCGGCTGGTGGGCGGGGCACCGATAGTAAAGCAAAAAAAAAAAAAAAAAAAAAGAGAGCGAGAGAGAGAAAGAACATAACACAACAAAAAACAAATGCCCACGCTCCAGTTGCGGTTTGGAGACGCACACCCAGCCCCGCGCTTTTGCAGAAGTGTGCAGTCTCCGGGAGGTTTCAACTGTAGAACTCCGGCATTGCACCCCAGCCCGGCTCCGGAGCGGGTTTGAATCCCGGGCTCCTGGGTGATTGATGAGTTTGTAACCTGAGCCTAGGAGGGGCCTCTGTTAGAAGGAACCCCGCGCTGGGGCAATTTCCATATTTCCGGGGAGTGCAGGCTCACGCCCCGGGAGTCCGAGAGCGGATGCGCCCTCGTGCGGATGCTCTGCTGGCTGAGGACTGAGCGAAGGGCCTGCGGGGGGCAGCGGAGCCTGGGAGACGGCCTGGCGGGCCTCTAGAACGAGTGTCCTAGAGAGCCAGATGGGGACACTGAACGTTCCCTGCAGATTCATAAGCCTCGGATCCCAGAAAAGAGCGTCATCTGAGAAGTCACTTGGTGAGGGCTCACCTCCCAGCCTGCAAGAAAAGCCTGAGATCTCTGGCCTGCCCGGATGCTCCGGAAGGACTGGAGTTTCCAGCTCTGAGGCTTGAGCAGAAACGGGGTTCTGCGTGGGATGAGGGTAGACAGCCTCGTTGCCAGTCCTGGGACAAAGCGCATGTGCATTCCTCAGGGAGGCAGATCTGAACCTAGGCACTGGTGATGAAAACCGCCTCAGATAAAAAGGCCGAGGGGTGAGAGACAAGAGCTCCTCCCACTGTGCCCCAAGCCATCCACTCAACCTTCCTCACTGGCAAGTCAAAAGCAGAAACCTGAGTTAACAGTAATCTGTGTCGCCTTTCCAAATGTCTGCATCACTTTTCCAAATGTAAAGACAGTTAACACATATACAATGTGTGTGTGTGTGTGTTACACGTATGTGTGATTCAACCGCATGTGTAGCATGTTTGAGAAGAGCTGCGGTGGAAAGATGAAGGGCTTAGCCCCTCACCTTACTGACAACCTAAAAACACTGGCGACATAGATGATAATAATATGAATAACTAAAATGTATTGAGCCATTTCGTCCTCACAGCAGCCCTAATAGAAACCTTTGTTGTTCCCATTTTGCAAACCAGGAAACCGACCGAAGCTCTGTAAGTTAACCTGCCTCAGATGTCCCATGAGGAAGTGCTCCAAAGACAGAAAAACAATCTTAGAACAGCCCCAGGTGTGGACACTCAGGGCTCTGTGGAAGTTATCTTGCCAACCCTTACTACCTCTGTGAAAGGCAGGCGTGGCAGACTCACCCATTTGACAGATGATGAAACTGAGGCTCGGCACAGAATACCCCAAGACTCTAAAAGTAGGAAATGGTGGCACAGGGACCACAGCCCATGTGAGTGTCCTCCAAAAGTGGGTGCTCTGGGGTCTGACATGCTCAGGTATCTGGAAGGACTCAGAGGCAGAGATTGTCTGGAGTAGACAGTGGGAGAGGGGCCCTCCAGAGCGGAGAGGGTGTGCAGCACCCCTGGAGCTGGGAGATTCAGGACATTATAAGTAGAAAATCCCAGAGTCCCTGCTTACGTTCCACCAAAACCCCGAAGACCTCTTCCTCCTTCCCTCCCCTCCCACTTTGAAAAGAGTGGAAGATTTCCAGAGCTGGGGGAGCAGGGCCCAGGGCCTCCCTTCTCTTGGGAGGCAGTGAATGGGACATGAAGGTAATGGCAGTCCGACTGGGTCAGTGAATGCAGAAGGAGGCCCAAAAGCAGGGCGGGATTTCCCAAATGATGCACTTATTTATAGCACACCTTTTTCCCAGAAATGATGGAAAGGCTCTCAACAGAGGCAGTTGGTGCACATGCTCTCTCTGGGTTTTTGAACAGCCCAACCCTCTGCTTTCCCTGTAGAGCAGGAAGGTTGAAGAAAGAATGAAAACGCCTGGCAGAATTAAAGGTGAGTGGCATCTTCCCAGACACAGTGGCTTTCCCTGCCAGGACTGCACAGTGCCGTGTGATAAATGCGCGTCACTCAGACCAAAGATTCCTTTCTCTTTTTCTCTTCTGTGTTCCAGGTAAACCTTAATGGCTGGTCATGAGTGTTTACTATGAACAGGACACTATGGAAGCACCTTGCCAACCTATGTGAGGTTCATGAATCCTAGAGATAACCCTCTCAATCCTATTACTGTTTTCAGCCAAGAGACTGCCCCAAAGTGCTTAAGGTGATCTGTCTGATGTCACCTGAATCTTTGTAAGGGCCTGAGTTGGTGCATGTGGATTCAGCCTCGAGAGAGTGATTCCACTAGGGAGGCCACCTGTGAAAATAACACAAGACAGATGGAGACCCAGGGCCAGAGGGCCGCTGAGACAGGCGAGGCCCAGCGTCTCCAGGACCTCGCAGCCTGAGTGGGCATAGACTGGGGTTCCAGAGCATGAAGCTGCACCTCAGGACACAAAGGGGGTGGAAGCCTCCCAGCTCCATCCCCCCTAAATGGGTCTGGGATGCCAGCAGCTTTACCAACCATCCCCCCTTCCCTCTTCACACACCCACCACCCAGGATGAAGTCCCCACAAGGCTGACACTCAGACAGACCTAGCCCTCTGCTTTTGGTCTACAGCAGGAAGGTTGAAAAGGGAAGAGAAAGCCTGGCACAAATTACAGGTGGGTGGTGTCTTCCCAGACCCAGTGGCTGTCCCTGAAGAGCAGCTGCCAGCCTTCCAATCTCCCCTGAAACCGTCCGCCCCCTTCCTTACATGCCTATGTCAAAAAGCAAACATTTCAAACGCCTTGGCGAGCTGAGGCCATGCAAGAGGCAGGCAGGGAACGCTTCTGAAAGTTTGGGAAAGCATTTCAAATATGCGGTGCAAGAAAGTGCTCACTGGGAGGCAAGGGGCGGGCTCTCTGGGTGGCTGTGACCCGGCCTGTCCCACTCACCTGGAACAAAGGCACCGGACCCCAGACCCCCAACCAGCCTCAGCCTACTGGCACCTAAGGCATAAAACCTCAGGTCTTTACTTACCCACCTTCATCCCACTGAGAGTCAGACAGGGACCCAGGCGAACACATGTTCCCAAGATGCCAACCACAGGCTCCGAGACCCCAGCACCTTCTCAAGACGTGGCTCTGCCCACCCTTCAACGGGTGTTTTATCTTGGTGTCTCTAGCTCCACCCAACTCATGTTTTCAGTTAACAATAGGTCCCCATCAACCAACCTTGCCCAACACCCCCAACCCCTTTTTTGGATGGGGGTGGGGAGGAGGAGTGAGGAGACCTTCACAAGCACACAGGGTTCATTTTCACCGGTGAGCTGGGAGCTCTGTTCACAAGCCTCTCCCTGCACCAGCAGCAACCCCCACGCAGTCACTGGGTAAAGGGAAGGGGATGGACCCCCGAAAGATTTATGAGCCAAGCGCAGAAGTTCCCAGGGCCCTGTGTTTTCTTCTGTGTCTGGCTTCTGATCTTCATGTCTTGGTGGCAGGAGGGTCAGCAGCATAAGTGAGGCCCCATGGCAGCAGCCCTGGCTATGCCCAGAAAGGGAGTGCAGTGTAGCGCTGGCCGCCTGGTCATTTTACAGATAAAGAGACCAAGGCCAGGGAGGGGAAGTGGTTTGTTCACACAGAAAGATGTGACTTTCTCATTCCTAGCCCAGTGCTCCAGCAATTCCTGGACAAAAGTTACAGGAAGATTTGCATCTTCAGGGATAGGTCACCTATTCCAGAGCAGTGATGGCGTTTCGACCACAGACCCAAGCCCAGCCTTCGAGAGGCCCCAGCACGGCCGGCAGGAGGCAGGCAGTCTCTCTACCTGGAAGCTGTGAGCGTGCGGTGGAGCCTCAGAGGCTACACAAGATGGCCCATTCAAGGAGGCCACTCTGGCTGCAGCCTCTCTGGGGCTGAGAATGTATGGGGCGCGCAGAGACCACGGGGGTCTCTCCGGGTAGCCCATATCTGTCATAACTGGACTGTGCTTAGAGTCAGAGGCCACCCAGCCAAAACCCGCCAAGAATGCAGCACTAATTCAACGGGAAGGTCTCTGCCATGGTATTCAGGCGCTTTCGTTTTATGCGACACCTTTGTGATTGGCCCTGCGATATCTTCTTGCTGGGTCAGGAAGGTACAGGGTTATCAGACAGACTTCATGCAAACTGCATTTGCGTGGTCTGCAGAGCCGCCCCACCCCAGTCCAGAGTCCCTGCAGCCTGTGGCAGACACTTTGACCCTTCCATCCTCAACCTCCTTTCCCCTTCCCTTGAAAGGCCCAGAACCTCCTGAGGACAATAGGAAAAGGTGACAGATGAGTGGATCAAGAATAGCCAATGTCCTGGGAACGTGCTTTTTGTACACTGGGCAGCAGACGAGCAGGGTGGCTGCCAAGACGCAAAACTGTTGGTGAGAACGTTGGCTGTTCACAGCATGTGCTGTGGAATCTTCCCACTCTGCTGGGAGCAACAGATGCCCCAGGAGCTGCTAAGCCCCCACGCCTGAGGTCCACACAGGCACTGCAGGAGGCTGGAGTTGCAGGAGACCGGGGCTGCACAGAGCTCTGAACCAGCTCACAGCACAAGGGGCCGCCGGCCTTCTAGCACTTACCGCACCTATGCCTGTCCCCACTGAGACGGAGGAAGCCTTGAGTGACAGGGTCCTCAGATGAGTCCCACAGTCCCCAGGCCGCTACCCACTAAGGGCCTGGTTCTCCACTCTGCTGCCCCTGAAGACCTGAATAAAGCTCCAGATACAATCCTCCAGCTGCCCACGTTCCCCAAGGAATGGAAAAACCCCCTCCCGATAACCTCCACAAGGGCCACTCACTTGGGTTTCCGGCCCCCACACAGCAGGACTTCTTTAAAAAGGCTTCCTAAAGGTGCAAAAGCCTAGCGTGGTTTCAACAGCAGGGCTGCGGGCTCTCAGCCACACCATCGCTCTCCTTTATTTTCCGTGTGTCTCTCAGGCCTCGCCACTAACAGGACACCAACGGTTTCAAAGCTTACGACGAGGGCAAGCTTTCAGAAAGACTTCTTTAAAACGTCTAGGGAAGGGAGAAAGCCAGCTCGCTTAGGGTCTGGAATACGCTCCTCTTCTCCTGGGGCAAATAGCATGAAGCGAGCAGAAGTAAAATGAAACCGTCAGGGTAGACGCGGGCAAGGAGCTTGGGCCACCTTCTTCTGCAGTTTGGAGAGGGTCTCTCCCCACCCCTACTTCCTTAACTTCCTCCTCCTGTTCACTCAACCAAAGCCCGCCTGGCCTGGGGCCTGCTGAAAGTCTAGCACCCGGATGCCCGGGCACCCGCACATTATGAAAAGGAATGAAACAGCCTCCAAGTTTTCACTGTATGCCACCTCTGGGGCCACAGATTGAAAGAGTCTGTGTTGCACATATGGGGAAAATTATTATGCTTTAAGCTTCCTCTAATTCTATTTCAACACAGCGTAGAGATAAAGTACCATGTTTAAAACAACAACAAGAACAACAGCCGGGCTACGTTCAGCGCCATGGCATCAAGCAAAATCGCCTTTAGCAAAATCATCAGGTCTTGAAACGTTAAGCTCACAAAGAACTTCAGCATTGGCAAGGTACAGCTCACCTGCTGGGGTGGGAATTGATGAAGCTTTGGTCCCCAAATTCACACATAGAGGCCAGCAGGGGGGCTTCAGCCATTGAAATAGATAATAAAGCCATTTCCTCAGCTACTTTTCACAAAATCTATGTTGCTATTAAAAATGTAAAAGATGAGATATTAACATTGAAAAGAAAAATAATCTCTATCATTTAACATATTGAAAAACTTGAATTTAGAACTCTAAAGGCATCATCAATTATTTTTGAAAGGTAATGAGGTTTCAAAATTTTTCACTGCGATGAGGGTATAGATTTAGACATGATGTTGAGAAGTAACGAAGTCTGAAATTCCCCTCTGATCTGGCCGCTAAGAGGGGTGGATATTAAATGCTAGCAAATCCGTCCCCTTCAGACCTTCATTGACCCAGTTCAAATTCTCTGGAACACCACTAAAGCAGGCAAAGAAGCTTGAATTTTATAAAATCGGGGGAAAGCAGGACTCACCCTGGTTTGCAGTTAGCAAACGGGAAATGTTTATTCTTCCCCTCCTTCACCTCTTAAATTGGGGACGGCTGGACACTGAGATGGAGTGGCACTGTTTTGACAATTAGCATGTTTTTCTGCATTTAACAAAATGCATCACAGCAAGCTCATGGTCCGGTCCTTCAGGCAGCCCCCTCCAACTGGGCGGTTTCTCGAAAAGAAAAAACCCTAGAGTGGGATTTTAAAATTAATCAAAAACCTTTTTCTGTCACTAAACAAGACAGCAGGTGTGTGCTCCTATTCTCTGGTCATTTTTATGTGTCTACACATATACCCACCTGTGTAACAAAAATAATCAAAGCAGGCGGGTTTGCAAACACACCTCGTTTTTAAAAAATGCAACACCACAAACACTGTCCAAACTTTGGGCAGAAAAAACAACATGGGTTTATTTTAAGGTAAGTACAACAATTAAGACCACATAAGACAAACATAGATGAAGTTAGGTTTTCTAAGTTTTTTTTTTTTTTTTCTTTTAGGAATACTCAGGGTGGAACCTACTATACAAAACCATTACACTTTGTAAATAAAAAGTATCAGATACTTGACTTCTTTATCCACCAACAAAAAAATAAATTATTTTCTTGTTTTGCAAAAGACCTACAATGGGAAAAAGAATTATATCTCATAATTGTACAGGAAACAAAACCCACATCGGTTTCTTGAATTCAATGTGGCAGTTAGAAATTGTTGGGCAAGATGAAAAAATTATCCAGTGAACTCAACTTTAAATATTATATTAATGGCTCTGAACAACAACAACAACAAAATAGCCTGATTACAAATCCACACATTTGTACAGCACGTTTGGAGAAATTTAAAATTACATACAGCACATACATTATCTGTAGAGACTCCCATACACCTATGGGGACCCCTACAGAAAGTCTCCAGGGCCTCGCTATGGGATTTGGTCCATAACTTAACTTTTGAAAGCTCAGATCGAGCACAGCACAGCCGTCCTGGTAGGGGAGGGGGATTTTAAGACCAATACTCATTTTGTTGGGCTGCGTCCCTTTGGAGGGGGTTTTCTGGGATCCCAGAAACGGGGCGGCGAATTAAAGTTACCTGCGCGCTTCACAGATGACTGGGGGCTAGCGTGCCCGCTCTCTGCTCCTGGGCCTGAGAAAAAGCTGGAGGACATGTTTTGTTTCTTTTTTGCGTGTCTGCAACCCCTTAATTGTCTGGTTGGGTCGGGGCTGAGAAGCGAAGCCGGAGCGGGCCGGGGAGGGGAGGTTCCGGGACAGGTCAGTATTTCGTGCAGTCATAGGAGTAGGGGGCTGCGTGGCGGTAGAGAGACGGCGTGGATCTGTAGGGCAGCTGACAGCTGGCATTGCCACTCACCTGGGACTCCCCGAGGGTCGAGTTCTCAATCCCTAGCCGGTGGGAGTTGAACATCTCCCTCACGTTGGGGAAAGTTTGCTGCTGGGCCGCGAACGTGTGGCCGGGGAGGTGGTTCAGGTCCCCGCTGTGGTTGAGATACCAGGAGGCCGCCTGGGCCGCGGCGGCCCCGGGCTGCGGCGTCGGCTGGGGCTGGGGAGCCGGCGGGGGCGGCGGCGCCTGCGGGTGGTGGTGGCCGTGGTGCTGGTGGTGGTGGCCCGCGGCGGCGAGCGCGCCCTCCTGGCCGGCGGCGAGGTTGAGAGCGCTCAGGGGCGACGTGGGGCCGCTCGGGTGGTCCGAGAGGGCCTCGTCCAGGGCGGGCGGGACACACATGTGCGCCGGCCGCTCGGCCCCGGTGTACAGGCTCATGGCTCGCATGCTGCACTGGTAACCCCCGGCGGCCCCGGCCTCCAGGCCCTGAGCGCACGGCTGGCCGTAGGCGGCGGGCGGCGCGGCGGCGTAGGGCAGCGCCAGCGGCGGCACCACCAGGCCCGCGCGTCCGGCCCCCGGGCTCAGCTCTCCGCCCGGCGGCGACGTTCGCAGGGTCATGATGTTCTCCACGCTGAAGCCAGGCAGCCCGTTGGGCGCCGCAGCGTGGTGCTCGGGCAGCGAGCCGTCGGGGGAACCGGCGGGCGTGGAGGCCGCGCTGCGCGGGCTGCCCTGCAGCGCGCTCTCGGGGCTCAGCGTCTCCACCTTGGTGATGACCGGCAGCGCCGGAGACGCCGCCTCGCTCTTGATCACCACCTTCTTCTCGGCTTCCTTGGGAGCGTCCGCTAGGTGGGGGGCGGCCGGGGCGCCCTTGGACGCCGCCGGGGGCGGCTCCTTTAGGTGGGCCCGCTCCTCCTTCTCCTTGGACACGTCCTTCTTTTTGAAGCGCCGCCGGCGCCGCAGGAAGCTGCCGTTCTCGAACATGTTGTAGGAGTCCGGGTCCAGGGTCCAGTAGCTGCCCTTGCCGGGCTTCTTGTCGTCGCGGGGCACCTTGACGAAGCACTCGTTGAGCGAGAGGTTGTGGCGGATGCTGTTCTGCCAGCCCTGCTTGTTCTCCCGGTAGAAGGGGAAGCGGTCCATGATGAACTGGTAGATGCCGTTCAGGGTGATCTTCTTCTCGGGCGCGTTCTGGATGGCCATGGTGATGAGCGCGATGTAGCTGTAGGGCGGCTTCACCAGGTCCTTAGGCGCCGCGGGCTGGTGGTGGTGGTAGGGTGCGTAGGAGCGGCCCATCCCCGCGCTGTACTGCTCCGGGTGGCCCGAGTAGACGCCCATGGGGCTGGCCATGCCGCCGTAGCTGCCCGCAGCCCGGTAGTAGTTCTGCTCGCTCAGGTAGGGCACCACTCCCAGGGCGTTGGGGTCGGACACGGAGTAGCGCGCCTGCATGCTGCTTCCGAGACGGCTCGCCGGCGCCCGCGCGCACAGACTGCGGCCGGGGGAGCGAGGGGGGCCCCGAGAGCGAGAGAACGCGAGAGAGCCAGAGGGGGAGAGGAGGGGAGCGGGAGGGGCGGCCCCGGGCTCCTGGCAGCCTCCTGGGCGAGGGGGCGCGGGCGGCGGCGCTTGAGCCGAGCAGGGGCGCGCGCTTTCAGCGGACCGGGCGGATCGGCATCCTGGAGGGCGCGCCCCGGGCGAGCGCAGCGCCGGCCCCGCTCCTCGTTGGCTCCAGGACCCGGCGGCGGCAGCGCGGGCGGTCGGGTGGCTGCGGACCCAGCGGAGATGCCGCGGCCCGAGGACCCAGATGGACCCTTGGCCCGCGCGACGAGGGGCGCAGGAGGCTCTCCAAGCCCCCAGCGAATCGGCAGCCCCGAGGGTCAGCTCGCCGGGGTCCGAGCGGCGGCTCCGCCGAGCCCGGAAAAAGAGGCCAAGTCCCTTTTAGGGATTGGGAAAAATTTCAAAAGTCTTCTTGCTGAAAGCGAGTTTTTACTTTCCTCGGGCCACGCCCCCTCCCGGAACTTTGAGCCAATCACCCGGCAGCTGAGGGGAGTCGGCGCCAATCAGGGCGAGGAGCGCAGAAATCCGTCGGCTCTAAGACCCGGCCGCCCCGGCCTCCGCTGCGATTCCGTCTTCACTTGAAAAGACTTTTAAAAAAGTTATATCTTATTAAAATTTATTTTATGATCACATTTTGGTGAATGGACCCACATGCCCAGAACAAAAAATAGCCACTTTCCTCTGTTTAAAAAAAATCACTTTGAAATATAAAATAGAATGGATTAATGGAGTAAAATATCTCCCCCAAAGACCTTGTAAGTAGCAATGATCCTGGGACATTTTTCTTATTAATGAGTGATGAAGCGAATAATTAGATTTCCTAATTATGGGGGCCCAGGTGTAATGGATTCGAAGCAAACGCGCTGGTTTGGAATGGCAGGGCCTCCCCTGGATGTTATACTTATTTAATCAAATAATTAATCATCAGCAGGGAGTTTCCAGGCTCGGGGTCGTCAAGGATAACCTATCAAGGTTTTAGAGGCAAACCCTAGAAACTGAGTTTCTCTCGCCCCCCGCCGAGGAGCCAGGCCGCGGGGTGGATAGAGGGGAAGGTAGCAACGTGCTGACAATCTAATCCTCTGAATTCACTGTGAATTCGGTAAATCATCCGCTTCACTGCGAGCAGTTTTGTGGGGTTTGGGGAAAAGGGTGAAGTGACTCTGCTATTTCCCCCTTTCGTCTCCCGCGTGGACACTCGCAGCCCACCGACTTCAGCTTCGAAGCTCCTCTCCCTTTTCCCAGATAGAAATTCCCTTTAACAAGCTGACCCCGCGCTCCCAGAAGACCGGGACAATGCAGCGACCCACGGGGGCCAGGCAGAGCCGAGTTCCTTGGGCCCTGCGAGGAGAAACCCGAGCCTGCTTTCCGCGGGGGCTTCGCTCGAAGACGCGCGCAATGAGCGCCGCGCGCCGCGGGCACCAAGCGTGGACGCTTTCCCCGGCCCAGGCCGGCGCCGGCCGCTAACACCGACCCCAGGGCGCTGTCCCTGCCTCCTGCTCCTGGCAACGTTCCCCTGGGAGTCTCCAAGCTGATTTTCTATATTTTAGCCTTTTTTTGTTTTGTTGGGTTTGGGTAGGCTGAGTTGGGGAGCGCGCTCCGTGGGGAGACTGGGTGAGCGATTGATCGCAAACGGTTCAAGATCTCTTGGGGATAATATTATTCGGGAGGCAGACCTGGAGCGACTTGGATCTCCTACAAGGATTTCTTCTTCCCTCTAGGAATCCCGGACAGTTTGTTTATTTGTGGACTGATTGTTTATTTCTTCCACACCTCAATAATCAGATCCCCTTTTCCCACTTCCCCTGAAGGAGTGAGACACTCCTTTAAAAGGGCTAAATACGGGCAGAATTTTGGAATGTGCTTGTCTGGTTGGGCAGAGAAGAGGGTTTCAGACAGAACATTTGTATTTCGGGTTTCCTTGTCCCTTCCTGGCTGTTCATCGGCTGCGTATTCGATTCTCAGCAAAAGGATGTTAAGAGAACCCACCAGGCCTCTTCGCTTCGGGGAGGTGACTGGAAGGCAATCGGGGTGTGCTAGTTATTTCAAATAAAAGAACAGAAGACAAAAATGTATATGCATTATCTTTGTCTCCTGATCAATTCAAAGCCAAAGGGAAGCTACAAATCAGTTTCCTTTACCTTGAATATTCCACTTCTAGAAACATTGTTTTTATGAGTATTCTGGGCTTTTTTTCTAACCTGATGCTTTTTCTTCTTTCTTTGAAACAAAGTGAAATAAAGCTGCCCAGTTCTCAGCTCAGAGGCAAATGATTTGAGCTTTCTGCCCCAACCCTAAACTCCCACCATGACTTTATTATTTTTTAATACTGCTAGTATTTCCGCATCTAGCTTAAAAAAAAAAAAAAAAAGACTCCAGTAAAAAGTGCCCTTCTCCTGCAGCGTACGACAGGCACACTGAGTTTGTGTCACGATTTTACTGGAAATGCAAACTATTGATCAAGAAACACTCCTCAGCCTGTAGGCTTCCTGGAGGAATATTATTTACTCTGCTTTTACGAGGTGTGTGTGTGTTTGTGTGTGTGTGTGAGAGAGAGAGAGAGAGAGAGAGAAACAGCTTTATCACAGCAAAACCTAAAATAGCCAAGGACTATGAAAAAATAAATTCCAAAATGGCACTTGCTGCCTGCGTTTGTGTTTACAAGGATGTCCAGGTTTAAACCAATGTCATCTGGGGAAACAAACAAAAAAACCCGCCTGAATCGAGTCGCCCAGTATATTAACCATCCTCCCCTGCCCCAGAGAAATGAAAAGGGGAGAGGAAAGAAATTCGTATAATCAAGACTGAAAAGGTGAGAGAGACACTTCCCTTTGCCCCTGGAATTAGGTTTCTTCCCTGCTCAGAGGGACTCCGGGAAAGATGTTTGTTCAGGTTATTAAAACAACGCCTTTCACACACCTGGACTTTGCAAAAACCGTATTTCCGAGCTTTTCTTTAACCTGCCAAAGTATTTTGGATGGGGGGTTGCTACTTTCTGGCTGACTTTCCCCCTTCTTGACCTCGTAAGTCAGTGAGCCGAATGCGGAATCGGGTCCCAGAGGGCTTCGCGTGTCCCTGGAATAATAAGCGGCGATAAAGACGAAAGGTATTTAATTCGCCTTCCACCCCCACCGCGCTGCGCTCCTCCCAGCCTGTGGCCGCTGCACCTGGAGCGGCTGGGCGGACTCCATGGGTGTTGGCGTCATCTTGAGGCCAACCAGGGAACTACAACGATAAAAGGAAAAAGAAAAGGACCGCCCGGCCCTCCCTGCTTATCATGAAGGTGCTGACACCTTGTGGATACCCCTTGGCATTGCACGGCAGGAATGAAGCCTTCAAAAATCTGTAAAAGCAGGGAAACGGGATAAACTGCGCTGCGTCGATTAAAAATAATTCCCGTAGCTTTGCAATCTGTCAAGAACACGATCTGTTGGGAAACAAAAATGTCTTTGAAACTGCTCGGGGAGCAAGAAATTTTCTCTAGGGAAACTTGCTGAGGTTTTCAGCAAATCAAATCTGTGCCTCTTAGGTGGCTAGAAATGTGCATGTTTTTCCCCCAGAGCTGTCGAACAAATTGCCTCGTCCTTGTTTTCAGGCTGCAGCTGTCCTTCTGCCCGAGGTGTGGCGTGAGCGTCAGGGAATTCATCAGAAAGCTATTTGTGCTGGGCGTGTGTTTAGAGGGTTGTCTTGAACAAGAGGAAGACTTTGAAACTGGCAGCAGGCCGCTTCAGCTTTTGAGGCACAGCAGAGAACCCAAAGAGGGGACAAGTGAAAGGAGTTTTGTTTCTTCTCTCACGATTTCCCATTCATTCATTTCAATATCCTTCAAACATTTCTTTTCTGGGGTCACGAGGTGCCTTGGTTTTAGGGAAAGGGATCGGGTGGCAGAGGAGTCCCAGACTTCCAGAAGCTGCTTGGGAGGAGCCCTTGGGTTACATAAAGTCAGCGCCACCTCCTAAAAATCCATCGCAATCCGGCTTCTGGAGATTCTCTTTTGTGGGACCAAAAAAAAAAAAAAAAAAAAAAAAAACAGTGTCTTTTCTAAAACTCAGTTCAAGCTCATTTTACTGTGCGTGAGTTTTCCAGTGAGTGAAAACCACAAGGTCCCATCGACAAATGGCAGGGCCAGAAAGGACTACAAAAGCGGGTGGGTAGTGAGGACCACTCTGTTAAAAGGATTAAAGAAACTCAACAACTAAACACAATCCTCAATCCTAGGTGGAAGAAAATTTTAAACAGCAATCAAGGACAGGTTTGAGGATACTTGGGGAAATTTGCATGTGGGGTGTGTAGGAGATAATAATCTTGTATCAAGGGTAAGATTCTTGCGTGTGATAATTATACATGGTCAAGTAAGAGCGTGTCCTTGCTTTTAGAAGGTACATGTCAAAATATTTGGGGCTGATATTCATCATCTCTGCAACCTTTAAAAAATTCACCCTGCTGGGCGCGGTGGCTCATGCCTATAATCCCAGCACTTGGGGAGGCTGAGGTGGGAGGATTGCTTGAGCTCAGGATTTCGAGACCAGCCTAGGCAAAATGGTGAGACCCTGTCTCTACAAAAAAAAAAAAAATTAGCCGGGCATGGTGGTGAGCATCTGTAGTGCCAGCTATGTGGGAAGCTGAGGCAGAGAATTACTTGGGCCTGGGAGGTGGAGGCTGCAATAAGCCATGATTGCACCACTACATTCCTGCCTGGGACAGAGCAAGACTCTGTCTCAAAATAAAAATAAAAATAAAAATAAAAAGACGGAGAATGAGAAGATTCAAAAGATTCAACCAAGGTGGGGTCAAGGGGAGAAGGAGGGTGGAAGGCCATGCAAAGGTAGTAAGATGAGAGCAGTTGTTGAACCCATGGTGCCTGGGTATTCATTGTATTGTTCTTGCAATTCTGTAAATTTGAAATTTTTCAAAATAAAAAATGGGAGTAAAACGCCTTTCTTACTCTGAACACTTGAAAAGAAATGTGACAGTAAAGGAAGGTCTTTCCATGGAAGGAATTTGCAAAATGTTTAGCGAGGGCCTAACTTAGTCCAGTGTCTGCTCTCCTCCTTTTCTCAAAGTTTCTGGAAAACCACCATCAATAGCTATGGAGTTTATCACAATAATTCGTGGTCTAAAAAAAAAAAAAAAAAAAGGCACATTCTCTGAGGAACTTATCTGTTTTATAATTCAGGCATTGCCACAATTAACCAAAGATGCCAGACATTCAGTATTATACATGTTATAGGATTTTTTGTTTTTGTTTTTGTGTTTTTTGAGGCAGAGCCTCACTGTGTCACCCAGGCTGGAGTGTAATGGCTCATGGCTCATGGCTCACGGTAGCCTGAACTCTTAGCCTCAAGCAATCATAATATTAAAGATACATATATGTTTCTTTTTAAAGAAAGTTAGTCTCAGTGACTTCATCCTGAGCCAACCCCAGCTTAGCAGGGGG